CACGAGATTTACAAATTATATTACAGGTAGCATTTCATCATGCTAGTTTGGTTTCAAAAATAAAAGTACAAAATAGTTAAATATTTTAATGTTGTTTTCTAATTGCTGCAATAAATAATTATTGATTGGCGTGGTGGTTTGACGAACATCCCACCGATTGAGGGCAGTATTGTATTAGCTAACTAATTACGTAACAGATGTATCATTCCGTGTTAAAATATTTCAGGTGTGATCCTGATAGAAGTAAACACGGAAACAATATTGGAATACGAAACTGAGTACGAAGAAAGCCTATGTCGATGCAGCACTCAAATTTATCCGTAATTGAATTATTCACTAGGGTGATAGTGCTGTTTCGGGTTCTTTGTTGAACCCTTCATCAGTCGGAACAGTAATTGACCGAATCGTTCGATTTATTCAGCTTTCAGAATGTTCGACGTTATTACTTTCATTATACAATTTAGTTAAAATAGAAAGTAATTCTTCGTCGCTTGGTGTGTCGTTTTTAACGAGTTTGTCAGAACGTAGAGTAGAACTTGTAAGTTTATCTTACAAGTTGGTTTTTCTACAAATTACAATAAGGGGAGGATTTGGGGAAATGTTACAGAGTAAAAGATCTTTCCGAATTAAATCCCAGTTTTTTAATAGGGCTCTTATGAGCCTGTACCCCATCGTTCGCCTGCACGATGTTGTTCCGTTCGGACATTTCTCCCTTTACAACACCGACGGGTAATACCATTCATAACCGTGTATGTCACGTGATTGCGCGATAGAAAGTTTACCGACCAATAGAAAGCTTTGTTACAAAGACTGCCAGAAAGCGCTCGGAACTCTACATTTCTGATGTATTCAGGTTCATTACTGCCGATATGTGTTGCTGTGATATCACGAGCTTTGGGGTATAACACCTACTCTTCTATAATAGTCAACAGTGGTGACAACACTATTACCACTATTATTAAGTAAAGCTTGAATAGCTTTGGTCTGAATATCAGTGAGTTGCATGATGTATGGATATTGTCACTGTATCGCCTCGACATCCAAGCAAACACAGCTTTAGCTGTGCTCAGCGACATTTATTCTCGGGTCAGGCATTTTCACCGCCTGGCAACCATCATGGTGAAACAAAGGCCAATAAATTCTCAGAAAACGGTATTTTGTGATGGTTGTTGTCACCCCCTACATATGCAACATATTTAAATTTGGTTGGATTTCTTCAAAGTTAAGTTTGTGCTGTTTTCTCGATTTTAGCTATTTTCACCGGCTTTTTGATCAGTGCACAGCAGCTCGCGCAGAGTCCATAGAAATACATGGTAGAGTGGTGCGCGTCTTAAAGGTCCAATTTACTTGCCCTGGGTAAGTGTGAATTGGAGGTGTGGCTATGCTAATGAGTGTTGTTAATCACTTGCATAGCCTATGACGCATCCTGTTTCAGCGGTCCAACATCAGGTAACTTTGATTGACAGTAGTTAATTATTCAAGATTAGTAGCGCGCCCCTTTCCCCGGTTCGTGTTTTTGACTTTTATCCGACAAAATCTCAGCTCGTACACTATTTATTGTCATAAATACTAAACACAGTCACTGCTGTGATATTCGTAGTCACATACATCCGCTTTGGCATGACATAATCGACCTGTAAGTTAGAGAAAACGCGTTTTCACCGGAGCTTGGCTGGAGCTGTTTACTACAGCGTGACAAGCAAGGAAATAATCCCTATTGTTTAGGAGCGTATTTATAGTATACCTGGGCCTTTAAATAGCAACGTGGAGCGTTTAGTGACTTTAAATAGCTCCGCCTCGAAGATTTTGATAGCTTGAGCTGATCTGCACTGGCTGGGAGATGAATTCTGATTGGCTAAAAAAACAAAAAAACTTGTGGCGTTGAATGCACGTTCATTGTCAGTATTGTTATGCAAATTCAAACTAGCTAATCATTTACAACCTTCCGAGCCAGTGCAGATTAGCCCTAGATTGGCCAAGCGCGTTGAAGAAAGAAGTTATACGATTGGCTGTTGTTAAACTGATTCTAAACTGTGAGGGCATTGTCACATACACATAGTTCTAATGAAATACTTCAAG